AGAAAAAGGAACAATCTAAAACCCAGTATGAACAGATATAATAAAAATCAAAAAAGAATAAATAAAATATAAAGGCAGTCCAAAAGGCCAGCAAAACCAAAAGCTGGGTTCTTTGTAAAAATAAACAAAATAGATAAAACTCTAGCAAGGCTCACCAAGAAAATAAGGGATTAATCTCAAATAAACAGGATTAAAAATGAAAGAGAAGACATAACAGATGTTGCAGAAATCCAGAAAGTAATTAGAGACTACTATGAACATCTATACATAAACAAATTCAATAACCTAGAAGAGATGGACAAATTTTTAGAATTATCCAATCTTCCAAGTCTGAGTGGAGAAGAAATAAAAACCTTGAACAAATCACTCACAAAGAAAGAAACTGAAACAGCAATTAAAACTTTCCCTAAAACAAGACCACTTCACAAGTGAATTCTATCAAACTTTCAAAGATGAACTAATGACTACTGTTCAAACACTTCCAAAAAATTGAAAAAGTAGAAATACGTCCAGTTTTTAGGAAAGCAACATTATTCTAAGAAAAAATCCAAAGACAACACAAAGAGAGAAAATTATAGTCCCATCTCCCTAGTGAACACAGATGCAAAAATCCTTACTAAATCATGAAAAAACAAACCCAACAATACATTAAAAGAATCATATACCAATAAACAAATTAGATTATTACCAGGGACACAAAGATCATTCAACATCTGAAAATCAATCAGTGTAAGACACTACCTTATCAATAGGTGCTGAGAAAGCATTTGATAAGACCCATTTATGGTGAAAACACTTTAAAAACTTTAGTATAAGAAGAACATGCCTTAACATAAAATCTATTTACAACAAACCCAAAGGTATCAATCTCACTGAAAAGAAACTGAAAGCTTTTCCACTAACATCTGATACAAGACAAGGATGTCTACCCTCATCACTACTATTCAACAGAGCTGAATGGAAGTTCTAGCTAAAGCAATTATATGAGAAAGCTATAAAAAGAATTTATTTTGGAAAAGAAGTAAAGCTATCATTAATTACAGGTGACATGATAACATACATAGAGAATCCTGACGATTCACTAAAAAATTAACACAATAAATCAGTTTAGCAAAGTGGTAGGGCATAAAATCAACATACATAAATCAGTTGCCTTCCTATATACAAACAATGAGATAGGAAAGGAAAAAATGAAGACAGTGATCAAATTTACAATTACAACAACAAAATTAAATACCTAGGAGTAAACCTAACAAAGGAGGTAAAAGAGCTATACAAAGAAAACCATAAAATATAGTGGCACAATGGGTTAAAGTGCAGCAACATGAAGCTCCCACAGCTGTGTCACTGTGAGTTTGATCCCTGGCCTGGAGGTGGCCTACCTGGTGCTGCAGACCTCTCCTTACCCGCCCGCTGCTCCCCTCAGCAGTATACTTTGTTGATCTGCTGTTTGACTCCCTGTTCTGCCTCTGGTGAATCCTCTCACTGCCCCTGCTCTTCTGATCTATACCCCAATTCTGCATGCATAAATAAATAAATCTTTAAAAAACAAAAGAAAGAAAACTATAAAACAGTGTTGACAGAAATAGAAGACACCAAAAAAATGGAAAAATATTCCCTGCTCATGGATTAAAAAAATCAGCATTGTCAAAATAGCCACCCTACCCAAAGCAATATACAGCTTAAATGGAATCCCAATAAAAATGTCAAAGGCATTTTTCAAATAACTGGAATAAACACTAATGAAATTCATAATGAATCACAAAAGACCCCAAACAGCAAAAGCAATCCTGACAAAAAAAGGATGAGAACGGAGATATCACTTTCAGACCTCAAATTATAGCATCAAACCATATAATGAAACCATCCTGGTACTGGAACAAAAACAGCTACACAAACCAATGGGATAGAATTGGGAGCCCAGAAATAACCCCCCCACACACACACACACAGTAAATAATAAATAAGCCAGACAGTAAATCTATGACAAATGAGCCAAAATATACACTGCAGCAAGGGTAGCCTCACATTAAATGAGGTTGGGAAAACTGGCAGCTGCACGCAAGAGTAAAACTAGATCACTATCTTACACCATACACCATAATAAGCTCAAAATGGATAAAAGGCTTGGATGGAAAACCTGAAACCATAAAATACATAAAAAAACAACATAGGCTAAACATTCATGACAAGCTCTAGCAATGCCTTTATGGTTTGTCCCAACAGCAAGGAAAACAAAGGAGACATAGACATTTTGGGACTATATCAAACTAAAAAGCTCTACCACTGAAAGATACCATAATTGAAAACACCTTACTGAATGGGAGAAAATTTTCAAACACCATATATTTGACAAAGGACTGTTATCAAAGATACAAAGAACTCATGAAATACAACAAAAATAAAATAACCCAATCAAAAAAGAGCAGGACTGAACAGACTCAACTCCAAAGACATTCAAAGTCACAGGGGAAAAAATGGTCACCATCATGTCTTATCAGAGAAATGCAAATCAAGACCTCCAATGATGTTCAGCCCTTATAGAAAATAGTATCGCGGTGTCTCAAAACATTAAAAATTCTGAGTTCCATTCTGAGACATCTAACCCCTGAATTCACAAATGCTAATTCGAAAAGAAACTTGGCACTCCCATGTTTATTGCAGTGCTACTTATTGTAGCTAAACTATGAAAACAACCTAAATGTCCCAAACAGGTGAATGGACAAAGAAGATGTGGTATATACACCCAATGGAACACTACTCAATAATCAAAAAGGACAAGCTCATACCATTTGCAGGATCATGGAAGCAATCAGAAGAGATAACATTAAGCAAAGTAAGTCAGAAAGAGAAAGGTAACTACCAATGGTGTCCATATGTGGAATATAAAGAAAGTAACTAAGAGTTACTAAGATAAAGATTACTAAGATAAAGACAAGATTTAAAACTAACCCTTGATAGCAGACTATTAAAACTGAAGCACCAAGCGTGGAGGGGCAGAGGAGGAGAAAGGAGGAAGGGAGCACAATGAACTGTGGTGGTCCACTATGGGTGATTTGGTGGTGGGTGCACTATGGTGGTGATACCTGATGGGGTAATCCAAATAATACCTCAATTACAAATAAATGAACAATAACTGAAACCATAAATTACTAGAAAGAAAATATAGGGGAGACACTACAAGACCTCCACTGCAATGTTTTATTTGGGGACTCAAAAACAATGGTGAGGGTGACAAAAACAAATATAAACAAGTAGAACTACATCAAACTAAGATGCTTTTGGACCTCAAAATAAACCATGACAAAAACAAAATGGGAAACAAACAACCCAATTAAAAGTAGGCAAAAGACTTCAATAGACACTTTCCTAAAGATTGAAAAACTGTTCAACAGCTCTTACTACAAGGAAAATGTAAGTCAGAACATCAAGAAGCTATCACCTCACCCCTATGAGAAAGAAAGGCCTATATGAAATGTACAAAATGAAGAAAGATATAAATATATATATGATGTAAATATACATTAATGTATTTCATATATATTTAATAAATATATGTGTGATGTAAATATATATTATGATGTAAATATATATATTAAAATAAATGCAAAAAATGAATCAATGATTGTTGGTGAGATTGTGGTAAAAAAGCACTTATCCACTTGGTGGGAATGTAAGTTGTTGCAGTCTCTATGGAAAATGCTGTGGAGATTTAAGAAAATAAAAATGGGAATTCCATATGCTCCAGCAATATCTCTATTAGGTATTTATCCTAAAAATGTGAAAACTCTTAATGTGAAAAATCTATGTGCATCTATGTTCACAACTGCACTGTCTATAATTACCAAATGGTGGAACTGATCTAAATGCCCTTCAAGAGGTGAACTGATAAATTGTGGAATATATACTTGATGGAATAGTACACCGTTGTGAAAAATGAAATAGTATCTTTTGGGCCAAAATAGATGGACCTCCAGGTGATTATGTTAAATGAATCACAACGTGAAAGATATTAGGTGGTCTCAATCATCTGTGGAATATGAATAACAAACCAAAAAAAAAAAAAACAGGCAAAATATACCCATAATAAATCATGGACTCAGTAAAAGAACTTAATGTGTTTTTTTTTTAAGATTTATTTATTCGTACAGAATTGGGTACAGGCCAGAGATGCGGAGGGTGAGAGGATTCACCAGAGACAGAGCAGGGAGCAGAACAGGCAGATAGACAAAGTACACCGCTGAGGGGAGCAGCGGGCGGTCAGGAGAGGTCTGCCACACCATGTGGTTGCCTCCGGGGCAGGCGGGAATCGCACTCAGGCGGAAGTGGTTTCAGCTTCTTAGTGCTGTGCTTTAACCTGCTGCGCCACCAGGGAGGGCCAAAAGAACTTAATGTTTAACAGAAGGAACAGGGAGGGAAGTAGAGGAGAAGATAGAAGGAACACAGGGTATTACTTACATGGGTGATTTGATAGAGCATGAGAAAAACATGAACAAATATGAAAGAGCAAAAATGTAACCCCAAAATTAAAATTTTAAGGAATGTCTCTTTTCCCAAAAGATAAGGGATAAAAGCAATTTTAGCATGCTGCTTGAATCAGTTTTTTCAAATATAAACGCTAGAAAGCTGCTATGAAAGAAGGGCTACATTTGGGTTAAAAACCCTAATCCCCACCTTTTCGTCATCTAGAAAGAAGCAAAGCAAGCAAGTTGAGATAGGACAATGTGGTAATTGCCCACACCCCAAGCTTTCCCAGATCTGAGCAGAGTTCCACCTGCCACTCCCTCTCTGTGGACTTCTGCAAAATCATCCATCAGCTCCACACCTCACTCAATTCCTCTTCCAATGAAAAGCCCATGTGTACGTTCTGTTTCTGAGCAATAAGAGAGGAGGCAAGCCATTTTAACAATCATAAATTTTTTATTAACTTTCTGAACATACAATAATAACTTCTTCTCTTTTATAAAAACTTAAATATTCACAACATCAGGTTTGGAAAAGACAAACAAACAGAGTATAACTGGAGAAAATGACAAAAGACAAATACAAATATCAAATAAATAGAACCAATAGAACCTCTCTACTGCCCGCCTGCCTCTGGTGGCTGCTGCCAGAGTGCTAAGCCCCTAGCCTCAAAATCAGCCATTGTTCAAAATCTCCTCTAGCTTCAACATTTCCAATGGAGGGACCTTGGTGACTTCAAAGAAGGCCCTGCAAAAGGAAAAGTGGCTGTTTACTATATAATAGGCCAAACCAGCACGGAGACATAGAACCCTTATCTTGATCTGAGCCTGGAGCAAAAAGTAAGATGAAAGACACCTGAATCTTTCCTTTCCCTTACATGAGGCTAGTCTGGCCCTCCCCAGAAGCATATGCCCAACCTCAGCTGGAGTTCTATACTTACTGGTGAGAGTACTTGGTACGCACAGTGTTGAGTCTAGTACCAGAACGCCAAGTCAACAGGATGTTCAGGTGCCTGACTAACAGGCGAAGATCAGAGGTCTTGTAGCCACTGTAATTCTCCAGGGTAGGTACCTGGAAGCACAACATGATCAGTGAGTTTTATGACAGGAGTCGGGGAAGACAGTTCAGGATGACACTGACCAATAATAGGATACTACTTCTCAGAAGACTAGGTTCCGCTGCAAACTAGTTCTAGCCTCCATATGCTTTAGATGGATCTTAGCCCTAACAGTATCAATAAGTTGAAATCCACCAAAGATTCTAAGGAATAGGACTGACTTTGTAATGTCCTCATTCTTGGGTGAAAAGCCAGGCAAAGCTCATAATAAACTTGAGGTCTCAACTCAACAGCCAACTTAAGGAATTTAAGGCTGTTCTTCCCCTCTGGCTCTAACATATATCAGTCCATGCATTCATTTTCTCAATCAACTTCAAGGATGCCTACCATGTGGCAGAATCAGTGTATCAGAATATTTACAAGCAAAGGTACTGGAAACAAGCAGTTTGGCCTTCAACTCCAGCACTACTAACAGCACAGCAAGGCTTTGCACCATTTATTGAACCTCTTGATGCCTCAGCTTCCCAACATACCAAGTGGGAAACAATATAGCAACTACATCGTAGGATTAAATGAGTTAATACATAAAAGCACACAGAACTGGGTCTAGCACATAGCAAGTGGCCAAATAATGCTGTCTAGGATTAATGATACCACACCCACTGCAGGATGCTGGCAAGACGAAGATGACTAAAGTTCCTGCCCTTGAGAGGTGTAGAGTGTAGTAGGGAGACAGGCAAGCACACAGATAATGACAACATGTGTGGGAAATGCCACGATGGTGGCGAGCACTGGAGCACCAGAGGAAGAGGGCAGCAGGACCGATAAACTGGCCGGCGTCACATAAACTTCACAGAGTGCACCTCTGCCATGGGAACTGGAAGTCAAGGTGGGGCTCCACAGGCAGAGAAAGGAAAATGCAGTCTATAAGGCGGGGGGGTTCTAAAAAGGTGATTATTTTCTCTGAACTCTTATTTTTTCCAAAAATCTTATCTGGAAGGCCAAATACCATACCCACAGAGGGGGTAGGGGCTAAGAAGTCCACCAATAGGGATGAGTTCTCTTGTTCACAAGAGCCCTGAGGCTCTTCTGCAAGAATCCCAGGGCCCCACTGAATACTGTTTGGCAATCACTGCCACGAAGAGCAAGCAGTCATTGGTATGCTGAGCTGGGGGTGTAGCATGTGGTAACACACGACCTGGGCGTGTTCCGTAAAGTCAACAGCCCAACTGTCACTGCACTGCTTCAAAGGGTTCGCCTTCACTGTATCGAAAGCCTGCTTGATGGTGTTCCAATTTGATATTCTCTCTTATCTGATATATCTTCTATTTTGCTATACCAGTACTGTTTCTAAAACACACAAATAGGGGTATGTCACTCCCCTGACTTAAAAAATGTACAATGTCTTAGTGTAAGGTGGGTCTCTGCATAACACCAAAGGTCACCCACAATCTGAACAAACTCTACCAGCTCATCTCATCTCTGACCATTCTCTATTAATGTATCTTCTGCTCCAGTCATAAGAAATATCCTCTTCTGCCCCAAATACATCATATGCTCCTTATTTCCTCATGACTGTTCAATTATCTTTCCCTCTACCTAGAATGTCTCCTCTCACAGGTTCCTACTCATCTTTCAAGACCCAACATAAAAGTAACCTCCTCTGTGCGGCCCATTTATCTACAGAGGTAGGAACATAGAGGACTATGGAGTTGGACTACCTGAGTCCAGATCAGAGCTGACATTAACTGATACTCACTGGCATATCCATGCGATACACTGACATATTTCTATACTGGCTGAGAAGCAATTTGCTGCCTTGAGTTACTCTCTTGTCTCCCTGAGGACCTAGCAGACTTTCCAAGGATCCAAAGGTCAAAACCTGGCCCAGCATGAGGCCTCCACAGCAAGGCTCTGCAGATATGGCTCCACCCATCCCGATTATGCAGCAGGTCCATTCTGAGAATGCCAATCTTAGCCTCAATGCCTCCCCCCCCCCCATTCGCCGTGTAAATATGGGAAGTTGTTTTTTAGTTATAAAATACGAATAACAGTACTGGCCTTGTGGGGTTATAGTGAAGATTACATGAGTCAACACAAATTGCTTACTTAGAGCACTGTGTAAGCACTCATAAATGTCATTATTATTTATTCTTTTCATCTTTGTCACTCCCATTTACTAAATTCTGTCCCAAGAAATTTCAGTGTGACTTGTGAGGTTCACACAGCTGCTCACAGCGTTTCTTTCTTAGCACACGAGGATGTTCTCGACAGTGGTGGTGCGAGGCTCCTAGGTTGAAAGGGCTCAGGACTACTCAGGTTGCATATTACACAGCAATGAAAATCTGTAGTTCTCTAAAGCTTATGGTACATTTGCCCATAAAACTGAGAAAGCATCCACTATGGGTTTTATTAGTGTTCAGGAAGGAGGTTTGGGGGGCCTTCCTCTTAAGAGAAGGGCACTATGGTTTAGCTCTGATCTCCTTTATACACATGGACATTTGCTTTCACTACTCTGTTCTCTGTGCATTGGGTCAGTCTGGGTCTGACCCAGACAGCCTCTGTCTTTCTGGGTCAGTGCATTTCAAAAGTCATACAACAAACTCCTGGGGGAATGAGGAGGTACAGACTTGCTGAGGGGACTGCCAGGGTGGAATGAAGTCAGGTAAGAAGAAGGCCACTCACAGGATAACCTCTTATTAGTCTATTGTGCAATACTGGGCTTTCAAATAAGCTTTCTGTGATACAGAGAGTACTGAGTTTAAGAAAAATGAGAAAAAAATACTTCCAAACCATTGCCATAGAAATATGTTAGGCAGTCAGGCCCCAAAGATGTGGAAATGCCCAGGAATTCGTAAGGTGGGTACACAGCGGTTTTGTTACCAAGTGTCCCACCACCCTAATTTATACCTTCCTCCCGCCCACACTGTGCTTCTGAATCCCTCCCGCTAGCTTCCAGCAGGTGTTTACCCAGTGTCCAAGATTCTTCATGTGGAGAGCCAAGAGGAAGCAACCAGCGGCAAGCTTGGAAGCCCTTTCCTGGACATAGTCATATTCCTGCAGGGTCATCTCGCAGATGAAGCGGGACAAGGTCAGGGTCTGCATGCTAGCGTGAACACACTAAAGGCAGAAACAGGGCTCAGCAATCAATTCAGAAAGTCAGCTCCAGGTAAGACTCCCTGAACCCACTCTCTCCATGACCTCACCTCACATCTAAATCATCTCCCTGGGCATGTACCCCTTCCACTACCATGAACCACATGAAGGGCCCCAGCCCTACCGCACAGGAGGGATCCTGAGATGGCCGTGGGCTTTGCCACCATTAGGGTTTTTGGCCAAATTATCAACTGCGTGTGGTGCCTTCCCACCTCCCCTTTCTTCAGGAGCCATCCTGTGGAGGCGAAGCCCTCTAGCGGTAGCCTGGTACCTGGGTCCACTCAGGTAGTGTTTCATGGTATAAAAGAACTCCTTCTCTTTCTTGTTTCAAGTGTTTTCTAGTTATCAAAAATTATAACCTATACACACATCCAGATGAGTATACAGCACACATTTGCAGGATATAATAATTACAAAACGGCCTCCCCTATAACCCATACTCATGTGAAAGAAGGTAACTTTGCCAGCATCATCCCCAAACTTCCCATGTGTCCTGTCCTTATCAAATAATCTTCCTTTCTGTATTTACCTCAAAACATCACAGACACATTGTGGAAATATGTAATTTTCTCCCATCCAATACTCACTTCATAAAGGTTGTCAATCTTTGGTCTAGGAGGTTGGATTGAAAAAGAAAATTCCCCTGCCCTCAGCTGTACCTTTCCCTCTCCTGCGACTCAGGCAGTCACTCTGGTGTAGTGAGGACTACAGCAGCAGGAGAATGCAGATGAAATGCCTCCCTCTTACCCTTGCATATCTGCGCAGAAAATGATAGGCAGTAGGAATGTTGATATCAAAATTGAGGACTTCCAGGATCCGCATTTCCATGGAGAGCATCTCGTTTCGCTGATAAATATCATTGCAGATGTACAGGAAGTCATCCAAGCAAGGGGGTGTAGCCTCCTGTGGGTACAGAGGACAGGCATCAGGGCCACAAGTGCATGCACCCTGCTTGGCAGGTGGGGAGAAGGGTGTTGGGGCAATCACAGTTCTGGGCATAAGTCTTCAGGTAGTTCTAAAAGCCAGCTTCTGGCTGGTTTGTGCGGTCTATAAAAAACAAAATCAGAGGGGAGAGACCTGCCCAAAACTGTATCACCAGAGAAAGGATAAGGGCCTCTTGGGGTCAATTCCTAAGGTGCTGGAAGAGGCATAATATAGCACAGAGTGTGGACAGTGATCTCAAGAGCCAGGAATGAGAAAGCTAAGAAAGGCCTATTGTGAGGGAAGTGAGGGAAGGAAGTCACGGAAAGGAGGAGCCAGAGATGGCAAATGAGCCTGTACTTTGTGTCCTAGTCTAGGCACTGAGCAATGACATTTAGAAGAGGAAGGCACCACTGGAGTACTGGGCAGTAAGAGAAAGCCAGAGACACAGAGGCGCCCTGAGCAGAGACTCAGGACTAAAGCGGGTAGGAGGACATCCTGGGGAGCTGTGCTGGCAAGATCCAGGCCAGGCCCAGTGGAATCCTGGTTTCAGAGAGATGTGTAAGAGGCAGGGAAACTCCCAAGTCTTTTTCCAACCTATATTCCAACCTATAGCTAACTGCCCACCTCAGCCTCTTACCCTGCCTTCTCTACTTCCAGACTAGACTGAACCAACTGTTCAATTTTACAAACACGGGAATTAAGGTCCAGAGCAGGAAAGCACTGGCTCCAGTTCATACAACAACCTAGTGATAAAGTTGGGGGGCAAGAAGTTCTTTCTCCCTCACTCTGCCCTCCTCACCACTGGCTCCTTCCGCTCTTCTACACCAGCTCCATGCCTCCCTTGCAAAAGCCTTTCTACACTTCTCAGTCCTGCCAGAGGAAAACACTCCTCCAAAAATTTGTCCTGACAGTAAGAATAGGGGTGCACTGATTCCAAGATTTGCTAAGAAGGATCCCTCCCTCTCAATGCCCTCTTGCTCTCTGTTAGTCTGGGATACCCCAGCTGCTTTTTAACCCTCCCTCTCAGGGGCTAAGACTTAAACTATTTGCTCAAGCCACCGAGATGGCACTAAGTAGGGGAACAGCAACACACAGAAAAGTGAGGAAGGGGGAGCAAGGAAACCAGGCAGAGAGTGATCAGGGAGGAAGGAAGCCAGAGAGGGAAATTGTGAGGAATGGAGCAAAGGAGGGGGAAGGTAAAAGAAAAACATGGGAAGAAGACAAGGGAAGAAAGGAGTGAGGGAGCAGAGTAAGGCTGGAAAGAGACTGAAGGAGAGAGGGGGAAGGAAGACAACAAGCAAGAGTGAGTGGGAAAGTGCCAGCAAGACAAAGAGCAGTGGGGAGAGAGGGAAGGGGAAAGTGGGGAGCAAGGAAAGGGAGAGACAAGGAAGGTAGGGAAAGAACCAAGAACCGAGAGCTGGGTGGAAGGCACAGTGGAGGGTGGGTGGAAGGCAGGAGGCAGGGTGGTTGGAGGGAAGGTCGAGGGGGAGGGGCAGCCCAGCTGGGAGGGAGGGCAATATCCCAGGAGGTGGGAAGTTAGGCAGCCAGGGAGGGCTGGACTGGGCCAGTCCTAGGGGGAACAAGTGAGCAGGGGAGGGAGTGGGCAAGGGAAGGAACAAAGGGTGGGAAGAGGGAGGGAAGGGAGCAAAGTAGGCATGGAGGGGTTGAGAGGAGGCCCCGGGAAGGAGGAAGGAAGGGATCTACCCTGCAACCCTACAAGGGCAGTAGTAAAGTGAGGGCCCCCTGGGAAGGGTGGGGATTTATGTGCAGGGTGGGGGAGATAAGGGGAGGGCAGAGTAAGGAGTCAGGAAGTGAGGGCTGAGTGGAAGAGAAGCCAGCCAGGAAACCAGAGAGGCAAAGGGTGGGGGTGAGAAATGGATGGGAAGTGAGGAGCAGAGGAGGAAGGGATGAAGGCAGGGAAGGAGATACAACTAGGGTGAGGAACAAGTGGGTGAAGGACTGAGCACAGGGCGGCTTCAGGTAATCAAGTCAGGGGGTAGGAAGGCAGAAACAAGGAGAGAGGAAGAGAGCTAGGAGTGGGGCTGTGAGGAGCTAGTGAGGGACCAACAAAAAAAAAAAAGCCAATGTTTCAACATTAGCTCAATAAAAAAATGCCTTCTCTCTCTCTTTTTTAAAAAGATTTATTCATTTATAATACAGAAATAAGGTACAGGCCAGAGATACAGGGGATGAGAGGATTCACCAGAGGTAGAGTGGGGAGCAGAATAGGCAGATGGACGAAGCACACTGCTGAGGGGAAGCATACTGCTGAGAGGAGCAGCAGGCGGGTTAGGAGAGGTCTGCTGGCGCCATGTGGGCACCTCCAGGCAGGTGATCTAACTCACAACTGAAGTGGCTGCTCTGGCTTGCAGTGCTGCCTCCAAACCCATTTTGCCACCAGGAAGGGCCCTGCTTTCTCTTTTTAAAAGAAAGCATTCTGACCAGGCCTCAAGGTACAGAGGAATGCTGCTTAATTCAGGAGTAAATTAAGGCAGCCAGGGGCAGGGCCTAAGGGAACAGAAACTCACCCTGAACTCAGTGGAAGGTGCCTACCTCTCTGCTTCTAAACCCTAGCCTATTTGAAGGTGAAACAGATATGAACAAGACCAGTTAACATCTGAAGAAAAGAGGAGAATCAGAAATTATGAAAAAAGGCCTCCCCTTTCTACTGCTACTTCAAAAATAAGGATTTCCCATGGACTCACTACCATCTAGACATGGACATTTTCCCTTCAATGTCTCCAGCACCCAGATTTGGAAATAACTTTATCAGTTCTGTTCAACACCCCACTAGATGAATATGGATTTGGTGGAAGAAGAAAAGGGGAGGGGAATAGAGAATTAGGAAGCAATAAAAAGAAAGACCCACAGAAGAACGGAAACCATAAAAATACCTGGAAGCAAATACCTGTAGGCAAAACACTACACAACACAACATACACTTCAGTGGCATATTTAAAGATAGAGCACCCCATGCAACAATAGTGAAGACAAGGATAAATAACATCAAGTTAAAGAGCTTCTGTATAGCAATAGACAGTACAAAAAACAAACAGATGCCCCACTGAGTGGGAAAAAAATTTCTCACACAAAACTAGCGATAAAGGATTGGTCACAAAAATATAGAGAGAACTCATAAAACTCAACAGAAATAAAGTAAACAACCCCATCAAAAAATGGGCAGAAAAGCTAAAAAGATACTTCTCCAAAGAGGAAATGCAGACGGCCAACAAGCATATGCAAAAATGTTCAACATCACTCCAACAAGCATATGCAAAAATGTTCAACGTCACTCGTAATAAGGGAGATGCAAATTAAAACCACAATGAGATACCACCTCACCCCAGTGAGAATGGCACATCTTCAAACAACTAGCAACAACAAATGCTGGGGAGGAATGTGGAGAAAAAGGAACTCTCCTGCACTGCTGGTGGGAATGCAAACTAGTACAGCCACTATGGAAAACTGTTTGGAGGTTCCTCAAACTGCTAAACATGGAGCTTCCCTATGACCCAGCAATCCCACACCTAGGTATCTACCCAAAAGACACAAAAACACTGATTGAAAAAGATACCTGCATCCCCATGTTTATTGCTGCTTTATTTACAACTGGAAAGACATGGAAACAGCCCAAATGCCCAAAAGTAGATGACTAGATTAAAAAGATGTGGTCTATATACACAATGGAATATTATTCAGCAACCAAAAAAGTAGACACATGTCTTTTGCAGCAACATGGATAGAGCTGGAAGGGATCATGCTTAGTGAGATAAGCCAGAAAAAAAAAGGAAAAATATCAGATGGTTTCACTCACAGCAGGAGTATAATGGATCAGGTGAGAAAGTAATAATAATGAACAGCTATAGATCAGAGACATTTTGTGGGGGTGGAATGGGGAATGGGATCAAAAACAGTGGGGGAAGGAAAATGCACTGGACTATGTTAATGGCACATGGGTGATATGGTGATGGGAAACCCAAGGGGATTGCAACTGAGATGGGAAAATGCACAAAATGATGTAAAAATAAACTATTATTTATTTAAAAAAAAAAAGACCCACTCAATTTGACACATGATCATCCACCTACATCTTCAAAGAGGAAATGGAAAAACTTGTTGATGTTAGGAAACAAATACACAACCACAGACATCAGCCTCCCTGATGGTTAGACAAAAAATTGTTAGGAAAAATTATTTTTGTGTATCTATATATGTAATCACATATAACACAGGTACACTATATGCAAACACAAGTGTGTGTGCATGTGTACATGTATAATACACATGCATACAAATTATACAGACACACACACCACGCACAGCTGGCTTGGAGAGAAACCTGATTGTCTCCAGGTCCTGTGGATTCAGACTTACCTCAAATTTTGCTGCAATCAGAAAAGCAGTAGAACCAAGGAGCTGTAGCTTTTCTTTCTTGCATATTGCCGCCATAAGATAGTGGTCCACCAGCTTCACTGCCAAGTATAGGGTCTCATGACTCACCTCGAAGGTCATCTGGGGGTAAATACACAAGCAGGGCAGGAATCTACACACTGTCCACAAACAAGGCCACATCCAGCTAGATGGAGCTATCTGGTATGTAGCACTGAGGGTGGTGGAGCTACCAGACCTGGCTGCTATGAATGTGAGAACTGCTTCGACTAGGTCTTGCCTGTATCTCCGGTGGCTTTATCTGTCCCTCACACTTGGGTAGAGGGGCAATTTTAAAAGTCAGAGAGAGAGAGAGAGAGAGAGAGAGAGAGAGAGAGAGAGAGAAAGAAATGATGCCCTTCTCTGTGAGCACCTTGAGTGAATAGACCCTCTCCCTTGATCTTTTTTAATACTTAAGATTCTTGTTTTCTCATTTTCTACTATCTTAAATAATATACTCCCAAAGAAGATCAGGTTTCTTTAGCTCTGAAATCCAGAGATTTGTTTATTAGTTTACTCATTTACTAGTTTCCCTTCCCAACTACATATGCTACTTGAACCTATAGGCTGGGAACAAGTACCAACAGCACCATATGGAAATGAGTTGAGGTGCTAGATAAGCCAGAATGAGATTAGAGCATTAATACTAACCCCCCTTCCCTTCTTTCTCTTATTTTCCTTGTCTTACCTCCACCAACTCCCCCAAAACTACTATAGCCCAGCCCCAGTTAGGTTGGCCCATGTGACATGTTGTTCACCTTAGCAAAGAAGTACCTTGTTTGGATGAAGGCAGCCCTGCAGGCACACATCTATCAAGTTGGCAATACCTTTGGATAAGTTAGCAAAGGGTGTCCCTGCCTCAGGCCGTAGTAGTCCCATAGCCAGAATGCACAGCATGGCAAACAGAATATGGGCAGAATTCCATTGCTCACATTTCCTTGGTAGGAGGCCACGTTACAGGCTCAATTTGTACTCCCTCCCACGGTGGTCTTACCCAATCTTCAGTGATGCTTCTTCCTCGCCATGTAACACAGTTGTCTAATATCTCATCCAATACATGAATCCTCTTTAGAGTTTCCAAACTACCAAATACAGTCCAATCTCTCTTTGAATGGCTTTAACAGCAAATTCATCCTTTCATTGAGAATAAATCACTCTCCCTTTAAGTTTTACTTACTTCTGTGGGACTCCTGCTATATAAGTTACTCTAAGTGATTGAAGCTAGATAACCAAAGTGTCAGTCAGTAAGAAGCATTGAAAATGTGGATGTATATTTGCACAGGCAAATAATTATCACAAGATAATTGAATACAACGGTTTACCAATAGGTATATTAAGTTTCTGAAAAACAGAAATACAAGAAGCTGTTCTTACTGTTCCTGGGATATAGCCTTGGATCTTCTCCGAAATTTGTCTTTATTAGTTTCCTATTGCTCTGTAATAAATTACAATTAGTGGCTCAAAAAATAACACAAATTCCTTATGCTATCAATCTGCAAGTCAGAAGTCCAAAATGGTACTTGCTGGACTAAAATAAAATTAAGATGTTAGCAGGACTGTGTTTCTGGAAGTTCTAGTGATGATTCCTTTTTCTAGCTTCTAGAAGCTGCCTCCATTACCTTGTTTTGTGGATCTTTCCATCTTTAATGCCACTAGCAGAGTCTTTCCCTCATTATACCCTTGTCTGCCTCCCTCTTCTACAGTAAGGATCCCCATAACTACACAAGGCTCACTCAGATTTCCAGGATAATCATCTCATATTAAGTTTGTCTGATTACAGCTTAAATTCTATAATATGAAAGATAACATATTGACAGGTTCTGGGGGGTTAGGATGTTGATATATTATTCTGCCTATTATAGTCTCCAAAGGAAAATAAGAAATAATAAAGGGATGGAGGGAGCTCATAAATGAAGGGTAACAATTATCATGTTAGTTACCAATACACTGAGATCAAATAATTACAAAAAAAGGAAGTAGGAATGTAAAACAGCAGTTCTCTAAGAATAATGTCTCAATGAGCAAATGACAAAGCCAGAATTTGTATAGCCTCCTTCTGGTACCTCACACTGGCACTTGCCACCCATGCAGCACATTGATATCAAACGGTAACATCTACAAGTGGATAATATTTGAATGAATGGTTGATATTTCCAGTCAATGAAAATTTAACTCAGCAGTTAAACCAGTGTTAGCAATCCCCTTTGAGTGTGAAACAATGTTCTTCTTACCACTCAAGACTACATAACAAGTCCAATCCTTTTTGTGACTACCCTCTAGCTATTAAAGACAGTTACTATGTCTTCCATAAATTTTCTCCACTCTAGAGCAAATAACTTGACTTCCTCCAGCTATTTTTTCACATGATAAGGTTTTCTGTTTACTCAACATTAGGTTTCAAATGAGAAGCCTAATTTTGTGTCAGCTAGAGAAGATAGCAGTGCTCTGAGTAATTGCAAGTATCCACAACATATGTAGAAAAGAGGTGTTTTAGCACAGTAGCAAGTTTCTCTCCTTCACAATTGCCTTTGGCTAGAATTCCTTCCAATTGCTCCTAAACAACCACTCTCTTTATCTAGAGATGGATTAAGAAGAAACGTAAGTGATAAGTAAATCAAAACGATGGAAAATACAAAGATTAGTCTTAGTCTTAAGCTAGGAGACAAAATTGATGAAATTCATCTTAAGGTCCAAAACTCAAAGACCAGCTTTCACAAAGATGAATAATCACATAAAAAAAAAAAACAGAGCTATGAAAAGTAGCAAGTAATTTTTCAATGAAAAATATTCTAAGGAATTAGAACAAGAGTCTAGTTATGAAATCTTTCATTCCAGAAAACTGGAGGGGACCTAGTGGAACATGTTGGAGGATTGTTGGCACGCTGTTGGTGGGAAGAGTGTGAACGTGCACATTTGTAAAGGTTTGAACCTATACTCCTAGAGCAAATACAAAAGCATAAACCTACTTTACCTCAATAAACAATTTGGGAAGGGAAAAAATATACTCTCAATAGGACACTTAAATCTATAAAGATAGAACACTCTAGGATCCAGAAAAGTTGGCTTCTGGTGAAAAAAGAGATTACCGAATTAAAAAATGTAACAGAGTCAATGAACAATACACTAGATTATGACAAAAACCAAATTAACACTTCCAAAGGCAACTAAGAAGTTCTTCCAGAACTAAGGTAAAAAAGAGTTGAAGTTAATCCAGATACACATACATAAACACACACTCAAAATGAAAGAAAAGGCAGAAGAGAAATAATAGGCAAAAAAATTGAGCCAATTTGAGCCAAGAATACTAGGCAAAAAAAACTGAGCCAAGAAAGACTCAATCTTTAGATTAAAAGAAACTGTTGTAGAATATACTGGACCAAATTAAGGGGAAAATACATCTAGAGATGTCAAAAATAATTATTCATAAAAAGGTGATGCATAAATCAATAATAATCTAGATCTAAAAGAAGAACAAATGAACTAAAGTATGCAAGTTATCTCATCTTACTTGAGGGATAGGTCCACTAAAGGGATTGGTTAACTAAATAGTGACTACATGCATCCATATAATAGGCTAGCATACATCAGCTTAAAGGAATGAAGTAGAGCTATATTTATAAGGAAAGACTACCATGCTTTATTTATGATCAACTTGCAAAGCAATGTGTATAGTATGACTTATTCATATAACAAATTATCAAACCCACATTCATTAAAAAGCTGTACTTCTATACATGTGTACATGTATATATGTGCGTGAGTTCAGGCATTACTCATATTATTTAAGATTTTTAAAAATAGTAAAAAATGTAATAAAAGTGATAAGAAAAACATGAAAAATCTAGAAGAATACACTCTATTACCTCTGAGGACTAAGAATAAAAGAAGAGGGTTCTTGGTTTTATACATATACACACAGACACGTATGCACTAATATATATGAACATGTATATTATAAACACATAATTTTATAGCATAAAAATACTGTATAGTGCAGAGGGGTGAAGGTGAGATGGAGAGGGTGAAGGAATGTCAGGAGAAATTAACTAAACAGCAATAATTGTGGGTGGTTAATACACTGCTCTCAGAGTTTTATAAGTTAAACAGAAAAAAATAACATGTAAATTATGTAGTAATTATTAAAACAAAATTAATTGATATAATGACCTTTTGCCCTTTGGAGAATACATATTTCCTTCAAATATCAGTAAATTGTTTATAAAAACCCATTATAGCTGAAGTCATGAAGAAAATCTCATTAAATTAAGAAAAGCAGACATTATCATTCAGGTCACATTCCCTGTACACAGTGAATCTAGAAATTGGCAATAAAAGTATAAACTGAAGAAAGTAAAGGAGAGCATTTGAAAAAAAAAAAAAAAGGTAAGCACTACACTAAAAGCAACAATGACAAACAGAATCTGGGTCAAAGAAGAAATAAAAATTTCAACTGCAGATTACTGAGTAAAAAAAAAAAGATAGCTATAACACTATCTTTTAAAACCAATGCGATGTAGTGAAAAACTGTTACTTAGAAGATGTATAACGTTGAAGCATTTATTATGAAGTCAAAAGTAATTAAAATAGACTACTCATTTCCAGAAACTAGGGAAAAGCAAAAAAGTAAACTTTGAAATAAGAATAAAATAACAAAGATAAAAGCAGATGTAAATGATTTTTTAAAAAAGGAAAAAAGTTACATATTTATCTATGAGTTGTTTATTTGACCAGAGGACTGAAAGAATCATTTGTGAGGAATAGTCAGGAAAATAAAGTGTGCACATGCATTTAAACACAATGGAATCAAAAGAGCACATCACCACACATTTTCACATGAAATGAGAAAAAGTAATTACAAAAGATTATTAAAAAGCACGTATGCCACAATGGGGAAATCATACATTGTGCAAAAATGAAGGATGATGTGATGAATATGTTTTTAAAAATTTAAATGCATGTGCAATCTACTATAGTAAGTAAAAATGTTCATAAAATGGAAGCTCTTTTAGGAAAATATATACTACGAAAGCAGCTCAAGAAAAGTTGAAATAGTTTAGGAAGCCAGTAACCACCACTGTTAGAAA